ACGAAAAAAAAAAAGACTGAAGAAGTTTAGTCATGTTAAAATAAATCTATTCATAGTTTTTATTTTGAATTTGTATTGGCAGAAGAATAGAATGTTATTTCTATTCTTGTATTGTTGCTTCTATTAGTACAACTGAAGGGTGTGGATATGGCTGTTATTAAGTGATAGTTGACAGATTGGTCTTTCCATTAATGACATCCATCGAAGCACACACATACCCAGTCTTAGTAGAAAAATTATCAACTAATAGAAACAATGAATAACACTATTACATCTTTCACATAATATAAATTGAACAATGAAGTCAATCGAGTTTCTATCTACCTTGATTCAATTACAATATCTTTTGCAATAATTATGAGCACAATCAATATTGAAGTGATCTCTCTCGTCGAACTCTTTGATTATGTTCGTGCACCCACACTCACCCCCCCCCCCCTCATAAGAAATGAGATAAATATATGGTACCAAGAAAAAATTGCTAGTTTATTTTATTGTTAGTTCATAGTTCATGTAGTTTTTTACAATAAAAAAAAGGTAAACGTACAAGAAACATTTTTTTCTTGTTAATATATTGCTTATGATAATAACACATACAGTCACTGTTTTCTCTCTTTCTCTTGAGCATTGCGAACCATTCCTTCGCAGCCGACCATATGGCCTATTTTCTTCTCTGCATTGCCACTGATGACTGGACACTCGCATGTTCTTTCATTTGCTGCTCTCATTTTTTCAGCTGCTTCTTGTTTATCGTGTGCACCCGAATCTTTCCAAGCTTGACTACCTGTAACATTGCCGATTGCTGTTTCAGCAGCTCCTTTCACATATTGAGCATGTCCACCCAAAAGACTTGCGTTGCTTTTGTCAGCCATTATTGCACTCAATGTAATGTTGATAGTGTATACAGTAAAAGTAAAAATGCGATTGCAAACGATATAAGATGAAAAGAGAAAAAGCGAGTGAGAATATATACAGTAGGAAACAGAACGGAAAAGACAGGATGGCAAAAAAAAGTACAGAATGTGTCATACAGAGCACTCAGAGACATCACGTTGTAAGGTTAAACAAAGACACGAGTATTTCTCTTTTCCATCCATAACAATCGAAATTGTACTGGTTGTATGGAGTTAGAGAGTCCTATGGAATAAAATATCATTGTATATATGTTTGTTTCCACGTGTTTAGACACGTGTGTACATATCTTTATAAAGATTTGAAACGATTATTCGAAGAAAGGGTGTTTCGAAATCGCAATTCTCGGTTTAGATCAGCCATCGACACGTTTTCATATGTTCACAAAATCATGATTACATAGGATGTAGTTAGCCTGTCTCATCGAAAATAGATATCAATAAGACGTTCAAGGACAAAAATTTATAAAAACTTCTATATATCCTTCTTCAAATAATATTTTAAAAACACCATAGTATAAATGTGTTCAAAATTCTTTATTACAGTTCATGAGTCCCATTCAAAAAAAAAAAAAAAAAAGTCTCATCCGTGTATCGATTGTTCTCTATCCGACGGTGTTACTCTTGAGTCATTCCTGGAGAGACGGTGTCGTCTCTTGGTCTGAAGATTCTCAATTTAGAAGAAACTGATTCATCTCAGGAAACCTGTTAGAGATATAAAAACATACCTCCTTAGTGGTGGAACAATCGAGGAGCTCAGTCACTCTACTGAATGTTTCCAAAGAAGTCGAGTCTTCTTCTCTGTTTCCCAGCATATCTCTCCGTACTGCTATTATTTCAGTAAAAAATTCTTGAACTTTTCTTAAAAGAAACGAAAAACGTAACAATTTTACGTCACTCATAACTCAGCACGTCTTATGACACACCAAAATCAGAGTTTTAGCTCTATTTTCTTTAATAATGAAATTGACTATTAGTTTTTAGTTGATCAGCATAAAAGCAACATTGCCAATTTTACCCAATGTAAAATACATCAATTTGGAATCAGATGAATATGTTGATCTCGATTCAATAACATTGACTCTATGGCTTCTATTAGCACCGAATGTGAAAGAGTTGGTTCTAGGTTATATTTTCAATTATTGCTATTTTCTTCTAACATAATTATGAATTGATTGAATTATTATTTTTCAATACAACTATATTACATTTGTACTCGTACAGTAAATTTTCAACATATAAATATTCGTCTAGGTGGAATTTGATAGATCCAGAGTGAGTCATATTTTTCTGCCTAAGATATTTCTCTAAAATATTCTCTTTTTGAGATTCGCTAGGATTGAAATAAATGATTGTATGCATTCGAGTGAAATTATAAGTGTAAGCATACATCCAAGAATTTTCATTTCTCGCTGCCCCCATAGGCATTAATGATTTTGAATTCCGAACTAGAAGTTGGAAAGTATAGTGATCAACGGATATGTTTTCATTGATTACGTTGTGCTTTGTTATCTATAGTTGCTATCGTTCATTGTCTGCGTTTGTTTTTTTTATTTGCACTAATATACCGTATTCTATGGTTCGTAACTAATGTCTATAGAATATTAACGTCATTTTATTATTTCAATCAAAAATGTGACATAGAATAAACCCATTTGAGAATTGCAATTTTCATGCGTCTATATTTTTTATTGTTTCCAACTTGCTTTTGAATAGTAACTAGAAAATGAAGTGTCGATTTTCGGCTTTCTTCTCATGATTTGAATGGACGTTTCGCTAGTATATCAGTATATTTTACAACACACAACAAGAACTGTAGAGGACGAGCGATCGCATGCCGAGATGAAACACTGATAAAGTTCGTTTCAGTTCAGTCGTGTCAAATATTCAGAAAATCGCTGATATAAGTATATGATGGGCCGCAAACATATTGGAAATGCTTCACCGAGTGCCATGTGTCTTGGCGTATCATTTTCATCTCTATTGAGAGACGTGCTTACATCTCTGATTTTCTGGATATGTGACACTATTAGAGACCTGCGGAGTCAAACTTTTTTGACTCCGACTCCGACTCCGACTCCGAAATTTTTTTCCTATATAACTCCAACTCCGACTCCGGAGTTTTTTTCTAAATGACTCCGACTCCGACTCCGAATTTTTTTTTCTCAATGACTCCGACTCCGACTCCGAAAAACTCCGAAAATTTTTCTTATTGTAAATCAGCAGCAGGTCACATGTACGGAGATATTATGTAACTTAAAGTTAGTTTACCATCACAAATAAGGTCTGCTTGGCGATTATTGTGCATGAATAAATAGATATGTAAAATATTAGATAGAAAAACTAAAGCTGATTGAGTTTTCAAACATTTTTTAAATATTAAATATAAAGAGTGGTCGTACACTTCCGACCCTTCTCTCTAGATTGACGTTATTTATATGAAATACATATATAGACAGTTGATCAAAGTGTGTAATTTTGTAGAGAATGATTAGAGCTATCATCTGAAAAGAAATAGCTCAAACTGTGTCGGACTAATCAGAAGTTATAGTCATTTAATTAATCGTAGTTTGGAACAGTGGTGTACGCAAGGGGGTCCGCGCCCCCTCCCCCTTGAAGAGAAGTTCTCCGTGGGAGAGTACGGGTAAAAAAGGTACTACAACACACATTTTTTAAAAACTCCATTACGGGACCTCTCCTTGAGAACTTGGGCCCCTTCCTTGGGAAATTTCTGCGTACGCCGCTGGTTTGGAATGATTTCCGTCAAGTTTTCGTGTACTTGACGTTAGTATTTTGAAAAAAACTGCTATTTAAGAAAAGAAAAAAAATTTTCGGAGTCTATCAAATTTTACATCGACTCCGACTCCGACTCCGAAAAAAAAAGTTTGACTCCGGTTCGACTCCGACTCCGAAAAAATTTTTGTTTTCAACTCCGACTCCGACTCCGACGGAGTCGGAGTCACTTTTCGGAGTCTATTGCAGGTCTCTAGACACTATGCTCATTCGTTGGTGTTAACATTTTGTGTAATAAGTATTTAGTTGGTTTTTGCCAGGTGAATTCTCCATACATTTCATTATTTTTACTTTAGGTCTATCACACTTTTTGGTAGAAATGAAACCAAAGTGAGCCTTTTGTTTTTTTATTTGCATTTCCACCTGTCGTCAAATTCGTTTACTAGCTATTCCATCGAAATCAAAAGCAATCCATTTCGGCTAATGGATTATCGGTGGAAATCGACGAAAAATCGAGAAGTTTTTCGAGAAAACAATCTTTGGAATAACAAAGCTGTTAGCGCAACTTCTGTGAGATTAAAAGAGTGTCAGTGTGAGCATTTCCTTGATATGCAGGGTGTGAGTGTGAGTATGGTTTTTACCTCTAGTCACAGGCACATGCACATCTACACCCTCGATTTTGAAAAGTCGACATAGGTCTTGTTTATAGGCTTGACAGTGTATTGAAAATCTAAATAGTCGAGCATGTTCTTGCTCTGTTCCGTAATCTCAAAACGAACATGATGAACAAGTGACAGCTAAAAAGGCAAATATAATGATTAGATCGATGATTGCATTAGAAGCAGATCAAACAAGAACATATATGATGATCTTGTGATAGAAATATATAAGTTTAAAACTTATTTCTTCTATTTAAAAAAATTTCTAATAGAAATACGACTCAGAATATATTCTAATAAGTTCAATTGATGTGCGTATAATTTTGTTAAACTAAAGTTTCGAGTTCATTATTCTTAATTTATCTTACAAATCAAAATTATATTCTATAAGCAGCATTCATCTATGAATCAATGTGAATTAAATTTTACATGAATTATTTACCGAAACTTGTAGTGAATGTATCTGAAAGAGAGTAGCAATTTTAGCTACATCAATCATTAATTTTATTTTGTGATAAAAATTCAAAATCATCAAAACATTTCATTAAATATTCCTCAAGAAATTCTGTTTTTTTACTACCTTGAACAAAAATAAATCGATTATATTTATGAAAATAATCTATTGATTTTTTTAATGTTACAAATTAATCACTTATATTGTAACCAAATAAACAATATAAAGTATCTTGTATTTCCATTAAATCAAAACTTGGTGGTGGACCACACCAGCACCTATTGAACATGTTTGCATTTGTTCCCAACAATCACATGTTGGTGATATATGTGTTTGATTATAATTAACATTATTTAAAGCATTCGTTATTTCGTCACTTGTTGATATTTGAACATAACAAACATCAGTCGAATCACATTGATATAATTGTTTATCGCATATTGTTGACATCATACAACATGTATCTAATGATGATGATTGAGTAAATGTTTATTGAATATATTTTGATGATAATGCACTTTTATTAATAGATATTGATTGAAACATATAATTTGGTTTATCTCAATACCAATGAATAAAGAATAAGAGATGATGGATCGATTCTGATTTGATGCTAATTTTGTTATTAATATAGCAAATAAAACAAATATAATTGAAAGAAGAATTTCAGTAATTAATGCTTTGATATTACGTTTTGTTCGATGAAATTGTTTTATGAGTAATCTGCTTATTTGTACGGCTAGATAACGTATACCAATATAATCGTATATGTATTCCATTCATCTTAAAATAATTATCAAATGTAAACTTTATAGTGTATTTCTTTTTAAAGATAAGAATGTTCAATGATTGTGTGATTACTCCGATCATTTTTTTATGAAGTCAATAAATCTTATTGTAAAAGATATTTTAGAGTTTTTGGTTAGTATATTCAGAATGAAATGTATTTTTAAAAAAATATTAAAATGATGGCAACATTTTTAACTAGTTCAGATCGTGTTGAATACTCGGGTAACTGTCTAAGCTATTCTTAACAAATATATGTATAGTGATAGAAGCATCTTAAGATTCGATCAAGTTCAGATTTGAACATCGTTGACTTTCTTGTAAGATGCTGAACTTCCTCAATTTTTAGAGCAAGTTTTTTTTTTATTGAGTATAAATCTATCATAACTAATCCGAAAATCTTTTCGTCTGATTTATTCCCATTCTTTTTTTTTCTTTGAGAAGGAGGAAGAAGAAGAAAAAATAACTATGCTTTGTGGCAAACAATGTTTTCTACTAGCAGATTCAGTAGTCCAATATGTACCTATCACAACTAATGCTAGTTGTAGTAGTTCTAAGCAGTAGACCATTCAGAGGTAGATTTCTTGCGTTCAGTTACGTGAGTGTCTCATACACACTGGCTAAGTATGTACTATTTACAAGAGCAAATGTTTGTCACAATCTAGTCAACATGTTATCGGACAGATGGTTCGAGAAAAATAGCCGTTAGTCATTTATCTATGTTATATCACTTAAACGTATATTAAATTATTCTTGATTATCATTATTTTTTTCTTTCGTTTTATTTTTTCCAAATCATCCTTTCAGATGAATTTTTAGTCTTTTCCAACATGATATAAGTTCATAATCTTCTGATCGTTTCTTTTTATCAGCTACATAAAGAAGACTATTATTTGATAAGTCATAACTTTTAATATGATATTTATTTTTATTTTCATCAAGATCAACAAGCATTCTTGAAAATATTTTTTCTGTGTTCAGCATTAGCGATAATCACATATGTGATTTGGTCACTATGTTCTTTTTTAAATGTATATGAGACATATAAGATTTAAAAAATTCTGTTAAAGATTCTAAACGTATTGAAGAATTTGTATTAGAATTATTAGTTATATGCAATTCTACACTAATTGGATCAGGTATATCATTTGTTGAATCCTAGAATCCAAGAATGACAATAAGAGGTCAATAGACCCACGTTATTTCTAGAACCGAATGTGATCGGTCCTATACCAGAGTTTTTTCCATTAGTATGTGATATCCTCTGTGGGTGTGGAATGTGAGTGTAGGTTTGCGTGTGTAGGAACGGAAGACACTCACACAGCACACCCATATCACAATCAAACCTATGTCCACTCACATGCTCGACACTCTATCGAAATATAGGTGTGGATGTGCGGTGTAAGTGTCTCCAGTTCCTGGACATCCACACCCTTTCTGATTGGTTGGACAGATAAACAAACATACATTTTTTCATTTTAAATTTGGTGAACGTGAGCTCCGTTTATTCAGTAACACTAACTACAAGTACAATAGGTGAAGAATAACATAACAAACATAAAGGGTGTTCCAGAAGTTCTGAAGCTTTTTAAAAATGCATCGTTCTCGCTTATAATAAAAGCAAACTCTTTGAAACTTTGGGAGATTATTATACATGCTTAGTACTAAATAACTACAAAGTTTGAGATCTATAAGTTGTACTATGGATGAGAAACTGTAACAACACTGACATGTACTATTTTTAAAATTTTTCTGGTAATCGTCAGGGTGTGCAATATTGTTTATTTTGTCTATATCTCGGCTTCGGTAAATGATAAAAATCTTGAATTTTTTTAAAAAGATGCGCCGTGAAAAGCTCCACAAAAACTGTAACAACAAATCCCTATTGACTTGTGTTAATGATTTCTGCCATACTCAAAATGAAAAACCTATACGGTAGTACTACTTCTCACCATATTGTGCGTAATAAAAAAAGTTTTGGAAGACGTTTTTACTTTCCAATAGGAAATTGTTTATACAGCTTTTGTAAAACTTTCGACGGCCCATCTTTTGGAAAAAAAATCAAGATTTTATCATTTTCTCAAGCTGAGATATATACTTAAAAAAAAGGTCTTTCAAAAGTTTTTTTTATTACTCACAATTTGGTGAGAAATAGTATTATCATGTAGGTTTTTCATTTTGTGTATGGCAGAAACCATTAAAACAAGTCAACAAGGATTTGTTATTACAGTTTTTGTGGAGCTTTTCAAGGCGCATCTTTTAAAAAAAATTCAAGATTTTATCATCTGCCTAAGCCAAAATATAGATATTTTCGCAGACCCGGAATACAGGAAAATAGTACATCATAGTGTTGTTATAGTCTCTCATCCATAGTGCAACGTATAGAACTCAAACTTTGTAGTTATTTAGTACTAAGCATGTATAATAATCTCCCAAAGTTTCAAAGAGTTTGCTTTTATTATAAGCGAGAACAATGCATTTTTAAAAAGCTTCAGAACTTCTGGAACACCCTTTAGATAGCAGAAGTAGAGAAGATTGAAGAACATCAACGAAGATCACATTGAAGTGAAAGTGTATACATATATATAAAAAACGATAAAAAACGACAACGATAGAGAAAATCACTAATATATATGACAGGAAAGAAAAAATCCATATATGTGTTATATATAACACGTACAAGAGAATAGGAAAACACCAGATATATTTAATAGAGAAAAATACATATGTGATGTATTCACACAAATTGGACAAACCTTGAACATTCATTTAACACCCTTTCTTCCAGAAAAGAGAACATATTTACACAGTTACAAAGTCCGTTCAATTTAAAGTCTGTATCGTAGTGCATCACCAAACGTTTCCAAACAGCAATTACCAGCGGTTGCACACTCCTTGGTAATTGAATTCAACAGATAAGTTATGTATTTCAAGGGGGCTCTTCCACACGAGCACTTCTCAGTTTTCTCGAGAGGGCCACGCTTGCGTGTGTCTGGTTGCCATTCCTTTGGTGATAAATTTAAAAAAAATGATCTCTTTAGTCAATTTCTTACATAAATTTCAGATCTAGAATGAAAGTAATTTCACAAATATACTTACATGCCGAGCTTCATTGTACCAATCTTTTTTGTTGTGGCTTTTAGACAATAGAACACGAATGAATCGTTCACCTTTACCATTTTTCTTCGTCGCTTTCTTCACTTTTGAAGATTTTTTGTTGAGCCGATCAGCTATAGTCTGTTGAATTTTTTGAATAGATTTCATTTTATGTTCTTGTGATTTCTTAAGCCTCTGTTGAGCTTGAAATTCAAAATAATTTTCCAATCTATTTCTTGAACCTTGTGAATTTTCCATCTTGAATAGTTACTGATAACTTTAAACAAGTAATATAATCTTAAACGATAAATACAAAAAATTTAAAAATCTTGAAAGTATTTTAGATTTTTTTAAAGAACTCTATCAGCTTTCGAATTTTCCGTTTTGAAAACTTGAATATATGCTATCTTTTGTCACGAGAATACTTAGAATACGAAAAACGCAATCGCATATTGCCGATAAATTCCATAATTAAAAACTTAAAAAACATTCTAAAGTCATTTACACAGTAATTTTACTGGTTGATTTTATTACAAATTTTGAGTACATCGATTTCACTTCTTCGAAATAAAGAATCAAACAAGCTATCATCACAGAAATTCCAGTTCATTTTTTCTTATCGTGCCAATCGAATAAAATGGGTAGTTAGATAAATTCAATGCATTCGGAAAACTTTTCAATTTAACATTACTTAATTTAATTTTTAAGAAACTTTTCCTTTCAACTTCATTAAATTCTGTGCTAATGAAGAGATTTTGTAATCCAATTCAATTTGATTCAATCGTCTTTAAAAACTTCAATTAAACCTATTGATTTTACAATTTGAATACAATTGACTTGCACACACCTGAATTTTATTGACTTTCCAGAAACAACGATATTCAATCGAAAATCTTTTCCAAGATTTGCGTTTATACTTGTTATCTTGAAAAAAAATTCTCGAATTGAATTCACATTTAGAGACTTCAGTTGAATATAATGATATTTCAGTAATTTTGATACAATAGTTTCATTTTTCAATGTTCTCAACAGCATCTCCGACTTCTTTAATAGCATAACATGATATTGGTGGATGTCTATCAATTTCTATTAAACATTTTGTTTTTTTTCGTACATTTTTACTTACTCGATTGTAACAAAACAATTTCAATTAAATGAGTCGTCATTTCAATAACTTTTACATATACGGTTCGCTTTAAGAACAGTTTTATTTTATAGTACTATCACTTTTCGAAACGTGCAAGCTGAAGTGATTGACTTTTTCATGAATTTTAATTTAAGTTATTGATTTCTCAATTCTATCTACGTTGCGTCTAAAAATTTGATTCATGGTTATCGATTTTTTCAAGATTTTGTGTGGTTTACACTTGTTGTAAAATTTTTGTAAATATTATTGACGTTTCATAAAATTATCAACAACGCAATTTCACTTGTTCGAACGCAAGTGAGATTATTTCTTTGGTAAAAGTCCTGGTCATTCAATTCATATTGAAAGATGTTTAATGGAACCTATTAGCTTCTTAAACAATCGACTAATATCTATATGACGGTGATTTTTTTCTGAATCTCATTCAACTGTTGTGAGATTTCATCAACTTCAATCTACTCAATGTTCTTTTTCATTTTTTTTTTATTGAATCTCTTGTTATTTCCAAGGAAATGAAATGCAGACAGCTGACATTTTAAACATTCTTAAACGAAAATCGATTCAATTCGTAAAATATTTCTATGTAATTACTTGCGTTGTAAAAAACCTAATTAAACAAATTTCTCAAAGTCAAAGTGAACTGATATTCTTTCACAAACATACGAACGACACGTATATTGATTTCGAAAAGATTCTATCGAAATGAATTGTCCCTAAATTAGTTCCTGTTGAATCGTTTATTTTTTTAGAAAAAAATTATGAATCATGTTTGAGAATAAAAAGTTTTGGTTCAATTTAAAAAAAAAAATTTTCTCCTAATTGATTTTCAAACTTTTAAATCGAACCAAGTGTCTTTTCAAGATGATTTAAATAAAAACGAATGGATCTCTAAAGATGTAATATAATCAGTTCATTTTTTCTCATATAGAAATAGAGCAACATAATTTAGAACTCATTTAGCATGTTTTCACTGTGCGTCAGAGCATATGTATAAAGATAAAAAAAAAAATATTTCTAAGCGTCCTCAAACATCATAATAAAGCTTATTCAAAAAAAATGTATAAAATTCCCAAAAAGGTTCAGGTTCCACAATGGATTGGTAGTACCTACATTCCTGAATAAGTAAGTGGTTTAGTCGCTTAAAATGCATAGATATTGTTTTTGATTTTAATACATTAAATGATGAGCTAGAAAAATTAAATATAAAAACGATGCAATTCCATTTGTTGGATAGACATATTAACTAGACAATCCAATGCTTCGATTCATATTATAGATGATTTGTACCACAGACGAAACGTTGTCGACGATAACAATAACGAGCCAAGCTATCGAATGATCTACTATGTGAATGCGATGAGTATTTATACTCGTGTAGAGCTAAATTATCATTGGATATTCTTCTAATGTTTAGTGTATCTTATGATTGTAAAGTGTTTTGATTGATGATAACGATGACAGGTTGTTTACCTTCCGTTCATTGAAGATAGTAACATCTGAACAGTATCATCATAGACAAATGATAATGTCCAGACGCACTTGACGTTTAGTCTATCTTATTGTTCTGAACTTTTTGATTGATGATATATGATAACGATTTGTTTATATTATCTTCCTTTCACTTGAATTCTCTTACCCCTATGATACTTACAAATACCATTTTATAAAAAATTCGTTTTCATGAATTATATCTTTGTCAAGTGAACTGAAA